TCTAGACTGCTTTATTTCTCCTTCACACCAGGCCGGGCCCGGTTCCCCCACTTTCTCTCCCCTGTCAGAGCGGCACAGTTTTTACAGAGACTGGGGTTGTAAAAATCCTTTACGGCTCTGGGTCTACTAGGAAGAAAATGAGGAAGAGAGGAGTGTGGCAGAAAAGCTGTCCTCACCTCGACTCCCGTCTGTCTTTATCCCCTCTCTTTTCCTCTCGCAGAAAGTCCTCTACAGTGAGGGGGAAAAGTATTTGATCCCCTGCTGATTTTGTACGTTTTCCCACTGACAAAGACATGATCAGTCTATAATTTTAATGGTAGGTTTATTTGAGCAGTGAGAGACAGAATAACAACAAAAAAATCCAGAAAAACGCATGTCAAAAATGTTATAAATTGATTTGCATTTTAATGAGGGAAATAAGTATTTGACCCCCTCTCAATCAGAAAGATTTCTGGCTCCCAGGTGTCTTTTATACAGGTAACGAGCTGAGATTAGGAGCACACTCTTATAGGGAGTGCTCCTAATCTCAGCTTGTTACCTATATAAAAGACACCTGTCCACAGAAGCAATCAATCAATCAGATTCCAAACTCTCCACCATGGCCAAGACCAAAGAGCTCTCCAAGGATGTCAGGGACAAGATTGTAGACCTACACAAGGCTGGAATGGGCTACAAGACCATCGCCAAGCAGCTTGGTGAGAAGGTGACAACAGTTGGTGCGATTATTCGCAAATGGAAGAAACACAAAATAACTGTCAATCTCCCTCGGCCTGGGGCTCCATGCAAGAGCTTACCTCGTGGAGTTGCAATGATCATGAGAACGGCAAGAAATCAGCCCAGAACTACACGAGAGGATCTTGTCAATGATCTCAAGGCAGCTGGGACCATAGTCACCAAGAAAACAATTGGTAACACACTACGCCGTGAAGGACTGAAATCCTGCAGCGCCCGCAAGGTCCCCCTGCTCAAGAAAGCACATATACAGGCCCGTCTGAAGGATGCCAATGAACATCTGAATGATTCAGAGGAGAACTGGGTGAAAGTGTTGTGGTCAGATGAGACCAAAATGGAGCTCTTTTGGCATCAACTCAACTCGCCGTGTTTGGAGGAGGAGGAATGCTGCCTATGACCTCAAGAACACCATCCCCACCGTCAAACATGGAGGTGGAAACATTATGCTTTCTGGGTGTTTTTCTGCTAAGGGGACAGGATGACTTCACCGCATCAAAGGGACGATGGACAGGGCCATGTACCATCAAATCTTGGGTGAGAACCTCCTTCCCTCAGCCAGGGCATTGAAAAGGGTCGTGGATGGGTTTTCCAGCATGACGATGACCCAAAACACACGGCCAAAGCAACAAAGGAGTGGCTTAAGAAGAAGCACATTAAGGTCCTGGATTGGCCTAGCCAGTCTCCAGACCTTAATCCCATAGAAAATCTGTGGAGGGAGCTGAAGGTTCGAGTTGCCAAACGTCAGCCTCGAAACCTTAATGACTTGGAGAAGTTCTGCAAAGAGGAGTGGGACAAAATCCCTCCTGAGATGTGTGCAAACCTGGTGGCCAACTACAAGAAACATCTGACCTCTGTGATTGCCAACAAGGGTTTTGCAGAGGGGTCAAATACTTATTTCCCTCATTAAAATGCAAATCAATTAATAACATTTTTGACATGCGTTTTTCTGGATTTTTTTTATTTAATTCTGTCTCTCACTGTTCAAATAAACCTACCATTAAAATTATAGACTGATCATATCTTTGTCAGTGGGTAAACGTACAAAATCAGCAGGGAATCAAATACTTTTTCCCTTCACTGTATCTATCTAGTCTGGCAACGCCCCTCATTTTCATGTGAAAATATGCGTTTGTGCCATTTAAAACTCATGAATCTTTCTGTGGCTTGTAGGAGGTTTTTGTGGTGGCCATGTGGGGAGAAAATGAATGGAATTGACATCACTGGGATGTAGGAGTTTACGTTTAGTTGTGACATCTGCTGCGTTCTCTAAGGCACAAGCGAGGGATTGCCTCGTTCTCTTTACCCGATGGCTTTCTCTTTTGTCTTAATACCTGTGGGCTGTAGTGGAGGGGAGGGAAAGGAAAGCTTCAGGGCATCATTGGATATTTAATTTTCAATAAATAAAGATTTTCTCTGAATGATGTACCGGATGCTTTCGCCCAGGTGGAAAACCCATTTTGGAAAAACCTGGACGGGCTCGGTCGGAATGCAAAGTTTCCACATGCTGTACTCACTCCCAAGGTTAAACCGCGTGTACGAGGATCCTTTAGAATGTTTATTTATCAAGTTAGCGTGGCGTGCGGACCTCGCTGCACCGTGGCGCGACAGCCGTGGCGAGCAGACGTTACACTCCGCCTCACTGAATGAGTGCCTGACCTCGTCGCGACCTCTCTCAGAAATGTTGGATTTGCAATTTTGCTAAATAACAAACAGATATATTTTTATGGGCCCTGTTTCCTACAGTACGGCCGTACAACATAAGATGTTGGAAATTAAAAAGTGGGAGGAGGTGGTTCAGGTGGGAGGACCCCTGGTTTCCAGCTGCAGTGTCAGAAGAGGGACTCATCTGGCAGAGCTAAGGGTCTTCTGTGTCGCTAAGTTATGGTTTCTGCACCCCAGATCCACAATCATCCCACTGTGGTTAGCCCCAGCCCTGTGTAGGGTGAGCCGCCCTCCCCTGGCCCCCCTCAGTCATCCTCTCATTGGGCTTGACTGGAGAGGAGAGCTTCTACGGTCTACAGACCAGACATGAGTCTCTATGAGCTGGCTTGCGTCTGCTAACTGCTAACCATTCCCTAGGCCTGAATGGGACCCATGGGGACTTAAGAGACCAACCGACCAACGTTACCATTTCTAACACCATAGGTAGCTTACCCGGATTCACTGTCCCCACAGCCATACAGAGACGGTACTCTCTGGTGTTAATCTGAATGGTGGGGTTCACTTCACTTGTTCTGTGACGGTCGAGACAGCAAGGAAAGACATTACCTCTGCACTCTGTCTCTTTGCAGGACCACAGCAGGACACGGAGGAACAGACAGTATCTTTACTTGGAAGTTTAATAGGTGAAACCATGTTCGTTTAACCTTGAAGTAGTCAAATTCTGCTGCCCATCCATTTGCATTCACGTCCCAGTGTTGATCTCACAATGTGGGTTGGCGTGTATTCCAGATTTCCCTATACTAAGGAACATTGTTATGCTCTTAATTCAAATTTCAGCTTTTTACGCAAATCCTGTATTCATCTTGAAATCGTTTTGACCCAAGTCACTGATCTAACCAAGTAATCAACAGAACACTTGAATCCATGGTTATAGTGTACTGTTTAAACATTACATTGCAAATATGTATTTAGTTTCCATTAGAAATGCAAACACGCACAGAGGTTAGTGGGTTTGTTCAGATTGTCGTGAATGAAAGGAAAAAGAGCAGCTAGCCTCGCTCCACACGGTCGTGAACATTTCCACATTTGGTTTCCACCGCTGCCTGTGACAGGGCTGATGGGTGAGAGTGACAGCAGGGGCCAACCACGAGGTCGGGCCCCAGCGGGAGGCAGCCCTGGTGGGGGGGAAAGAGAGTAGGGAGCAGGGGGTGGCCTGGAGGTCAGGGAGTAGTGGACACACAGCTCTCTCTAGCAGAGACCGACCGAGAGACAGAGATTTGGAGACAAACCGGTTGGATGAGCTGGAGGGAAGGGTTTGTTTCTTTTAGGGGCTTGGCGACGAGAGAGAAAGGGGATAGGGTTTTGTCTTCATTGACTTTTTTCGTAGCAGATTTAGGAGAATTAGGAAAGTGGTTCGGGTTAGCTAAAATGCAAAAACAAAAAATACACTTTTGATGTCAATTTGAAAAGCTGTATCCAATCTAGACATGACCAGGGACAGGGGGAGGAATTCCAGAGGTGTGCAGGCTTCCTTTGCCCCCAGACGGGTTGGTTGGGTCTGGGCTGGGGGACAGTGTGGGGGCTGGGGGGAGAATGGTCCGGGCTGGGGGGGAGAATGGGCTGGGGGACAGTGTGGGGGCTGGGGGGAGAATGGTCTGGGCTGGGGGACAGTGTGGAGGCTGGGGGGAGAAGGGTCTGGGCTGGGGGAACAGTGTGGGGGCTGAGGGGAGAATGGTCTGGGCTGGGGGACAGTGTGGGGGCTGAGGGGAGAATGGTCTGGGCTGGGGGACAGTGTGGGGGCTGAGGGGAGAAGGGTCTGGGCTGAGGTACAGGCTGCGGCAGGCAGCCAGGAACCCTGTACCTGCAGATCCAATCATCCCCCGCTGAGCCTCGCAGCTGGCCCTTAAAAGGTCCCGACCAACGAGGGCCTGCCACACACACAAACTCGGCCGCGACCAACGCTGCCCAAACTCATCCCCGGAACCCTCCCCCCTCAGTGTGTTAGTAGTAAGTTACTGTCTACAGACTGTCTCTATAGACTGTCCCAGGTGTACTCGTCAAAGCACCTAAGAGAATACTGCATAAATCATCTGGCTGATTGGAAAAACAAGTTTTCTGTTTTGTGTTGAGGCTTTTACTGGCCAGCTTTGTTTCGTTTTTTTTGTCACAGTTGACTGAGTTCAATAGTTTCAATATGAGATTTCTTGTGAATTTGGATGAAACTAGATGCAGTCTCAAATCGACAGTCCCATTTTAGTTACATCTCAAGTATATTAAGTGTTAGAGTGAACAGCTGTGTGCATGAGTAGTGAGGAGTGGGAAAGATGGTAATCTAGCTGGAGAGAGCAAGATGATAAGCTTGTGGTTTGTTCCTTATGACACTTCACTGTTTTTATAGCTGTTTGTAGACCCGATTTGGTGTTTCGTACAGTAAATGTCTGTATCATTGTCAAACCCTCCGAAATAAAACTGGAAGAAATATCATATTTATCGGCAGACTGAAAAATTGTGAAATGTAAGTACTTTTCTTTTTCACTGGGAATTGCAAAATAACAGCAAAATAACGGAATCTTACGTGTTTGAAGTAAACTTAATTAATTCATAGGCATATTTATTTAGTCATGAATTTTAACACATTCTTACAAATATTGTACACAACATCAAATAACAGAAGACAGAACGCTGAGGATTTATCTTCTTCATGAGAAAGGCAGTTGTCCATCGGGGTAGAAACTCACTGACCAGAAAACCCAGTTAAATTTCAAGTGAAAGCTGTGTTATATATTTGGCTTGTGGAACAGTTCGCTCACTTTACGGCAAGTAGCCTGATACAGTCAACCATGAGTTCCAGTTTTGCCTGCCCTTGTCCATTACAACCCTCCTTACCACACCCCTTTTAGTTCCACCGTGGCTCATCTTGGTCCTTACCGACTGTCTAGGAGTCTGTCTCATGCAGAGGGGGTTGTGGTTCTAAAGTTTCAGCTTTATCAGTCTACATATGCAGACATTCTCAGGTAAAGAAAAGATAAGAGGAATGTATTTTTTTGTTTGTTTGTTCTCTTTTCAAGTCTTTGAGAGGTCATGGAATGGAGAAGTGTAGAACGTTTTATAGAGGGAAGATTATTCTCGATCTCCTCTTTGAGTCCGGGCAAGCTTCCACTGTCCAAGAAGTCCCACAGTCTCAATTATTACCTCTTCAGAAACTTTTTTTTTGGGGGGGGTCGGCATATAATTAAATACAGATTTCGATTTATGTACACCTTAAGCATGTCACGTTTTTGGTCCACAGTTCCCTCTGTCGTCCTCCAGATATTAACTTCTTAGAGCAGTTTTCCTGTCTCTGTCTTTGCTCTGAAAGAAAGGGGGAAAAAAACAGTTAACATTTTCTAGTAGGCTATTTATAGTCAAATGCAAAACACTTTAATGTGAAAATACATTTCCAAGAAGGATTCTAGCCCAATCGTTTAACAATTTTACAATACACCTTATTGCTGAGGTAGCATAAGTAAAGGAAAATAAATTGTTTATTTTATTTGAGTAATGTCATGTCTGATGTTAACCCTTTGAGTGAGTGCACTGCTCGCTCCTGTCAGACTGGCCTAGTTCTATTCTTCTAACCCACTGGTCCAGCCTGCTGTGGAGGCTGCCTGTAGGGCTTTGTGGACTGGGGATGTGTGGAGGCTGTGGACTGGTGAGGTATGATGTCGACTGGTCTGGGGCTTGTGGGCTGTAGCATGGCCATGGGGGAGGCTCATGTTTTCTTCTCTCACCATACACTGAGTGGCAGAACTAGCATTAGCACACCTGGCTCACATTTTGCTCCCTACGCTCTAACCCAGAGAATGGGAGACCAGGCCATGGAATGCCATCGTTTCCACGGCTACGTCTCACGTAGGCGGGCCCAGGCGCTCTGTCAAAACACTCGTCTCGAATTGATGAGGTCAGACAGTCTCATTTGAAAACGGGCCAGGAACTTTTTTTTCCTCTCTCTTTGGTTTATTGTTTTTGTTCAGTGCCACTTTAAAGTCACATTCGTCGGCTCCAGGGATCACTTACACCCGACTAATAGGATTTTTGTTTAACATTTGTTTTTCATATCCTGTATAACACATTGTAAAGATGGATAGGGCTAATTCCACAGCAGCTGAAACCAAAAAGGCTTTTTTTATTGAACTCACACCTTTTTTCTTTTCTTTTTTAAGGCTTCCACCACTTGCTTATACAGTATCTAATTACATGGGAAGGTTTTGTTGTTTTTATGAACATATCACAACATATTACATTTCCACAGACACAGAAGCCGATCTGTGTTTTTTTTTTTTTCTCTCCTCAGGCTTCATTCTTTAGGCAAATATTTGGTTTGGTCTCGGCCTGACAGGTAACGTTGGCAGATTGGTTCAAGATTACAATGGAGGCACTCAGTGTGTGTGTGTGTAGGGGTATGTGGATTTTCAGACGCGTAACTCAAGCCCTAACAGACGATTCATCTGTTTGGGTTATTAAACGCAACCCCCTTTCCTTCTGTTCATCCTAACTATTCTGAGCGTGGGTTCTTTACACCCTCTGTTTTGTCTGTGGACAAAAGTTGGACGCGATATTGTGTATTATAGAATAACTTGTTAGACAGGTGTTTGTGGGTGTGTGTGTGTGTGTGTGACTGAGTGAGTGAAAAATGTGTTTTTTTTATCACATGGTTAAGGCTTATTTTACAGTTGGACAATAGTATTGTAGATTCAAATTAAATATTAAGTTACGACAATATGCAACTTTAAGTGTTATTTTTCATTATAGCTTGGTCCTCAGCCTACTGTTAGTTCACACTGGGTAATTTCATAATGTGCTACATGTTCACACTGATAGACTCCCATTACAGGGTAAAGCTTTAGTATCTTCCATATGGCTGTAATGAAGGAACTCGAGATAATTACAGAAAATATGAGCCATGATGGAGCTGTGGCTGCTAGGCTAGCGCACAGCTTTGGGACTGGGCTCTGAAGCTGTCTATACTCAATTAGTAATCTGTTGGGTTACCCCCAGCCCCAGTACACAGAGGAAGCTCGCCAAGTTCTTTCCCCTGTGCTCCTCGAAACTGCTGCTGCACACGGACTGTCCATTTGATTAGGGGTTGTCTGCTCCTGTGTGTCCCGTTATGCAATCCCCCTGCCATCCTTCATAACCCCTGTCTTCACCTGCTACAGCTATTAGGGAGAAAGAATGCTCCCTTCCTAATGGACTGTGCTGAGCAGCCCCCAACAAAAGAGAGAGCCGAGGGGGGATGGAACCTCAATTTTGGTTAATTTCTGCCCTGTTCTGTCTAACGTCATCATTATGGGGCTGTGGTTGAAGTGTACTTTTACACAATTGATTTGCTGTCAATAGAAATGTAAAATGTTTCATGATGGTCTGAATAGTGTGTGTGTGTGTGTGAGGATGAGATGTCTAGCTTGACTATGTTACATAGAAAATTATTTATTCCACTCCAAGCAAGGTAAAGCTGTGCCAGATGGATAACATTTTGGAATGGAAAACATCATAAGATCACACACTTACCAACACATACACACATCTGTAAGCAAATAATTGCTGTGTCTGTTCTCACATAAATTGGCCTATGACTTCAGTGGCAGGAAAAAGCTTGAAATACAATAAAGAGAATTCAGTGTGAATTCAGTCTCTCTCTGGTGATGTAAAATGTTTGATATGACTACTGATCCAATGAGTAGTAGGCTATAAAAGAGCACCTTGGGAGCACTTTGATTGGTTGATTGAGTCCAACACAAGTACTAAACTGGTGATATCATAACAGAATGCAAATTTATCAATGAAGCATTTATCATCTTTCCTACACTTTCAAATGCTTGTGAATGATCTATGTCGGACAACAACTCTCGAGTGTTGTATTTTTCAATCATCCTGTTGTCAATTTTGTTCTCTGTCCGAATTGGGAAACATTTTGACATGTGTTCTACAGTACCTCAATGTGTTTCCTCTTTATTTTATTTTATTCTTTCTTTAGAAACAATAAAGAAATGAGTCTTGGCCGAGCAATGCTTTTCACAGAGTAATGAGAGCTAAGTACGGGTAAAGAGAGCAGTGCGGTTTGGAGTGGGTCGCTTCGCCTCTTAAAGCCTCGACTACAAAGCCAAAGCCCAATCTGTTTCGAATATCGGCCCGGCTCAGGCCTCCTATAGACAGGCCTTTAATTCAGGAGAAAACACTTAAACAGACATTATCTCATTTGCTGGTTTATTCTGCCTTGATAAAATCAATGAAGTGGACGAATAGGATTGCTTCCAGTCGGGGCGATTTGTCCATTAATCTCTATCATTATTAATTGTATAACTCCTGCATCTCTGTTTCCTCCATGGTCTTTCAAAGAGCCCCTTTGTAGCAGCGAAAGGTCTACAAAACATTACATTACTAATAGGCTTTTACTTGAATTAGTTTTGATTTGATGTATTATTCGCTCCTTGGTGATGCTATAACAAGGTTGATCCAGATATTGTTAATGGTGGGGTGGGCTTGTGCTATTACACTAGAAAGTTGAGCATAGCGTTCTCTTAGATTTGTCCAGAGGTCAGGAGTTGTGACTCTCCAGGACATGTTAATATATTAATCATGGCAGACTAAGTCTACTGTGCAGCTCTGTGGTTATGCTATTGAAGATCTCTAGTGATGGTGTGTGTTGTCCAGAATGACAAGTCATTATCGTATTCATCATGATTTATTTAGGAAGCCAGAGGTCTGAGATGCAGCGAGGCAGGGTGTGTGTGTGTGTGTGTTATTAATTGGAGCCCTGGGAAAGCCTTAGGTCAACACAGGATGTGTGTGTAAATCGCTCAGGATGGCTCAATGGCGGATTGGGGAATAAAGCAGATGTTCCCAGAATGCTTTCGACCTGCAATCAGAGCATGTAGACCTAGGTAGATGTTTCTACGTCTTGGTATTGGTTGTGGAACTTGGTATTGGAGTTGTGGCAAGTCTTGGTATTGGAGTTGTGGCAAGTCTTGGTATTGGAGTCTGTGGCAAGTCTTGGTATTGGAGCTGTGGCAAGTCTTGGTATTGGAGCTGTGGCAAGTCTTGGTATTGGAGTTGTGGCCAGTCTAGCTGTGGCAAGTCTTGGTATTGGAGCTGTGGCAAGTCTTGGTATTGGAGCTGTGGCAAGTCTTGGTATTGGAGCTGTGGCAAGTCTTGGTATTGGAGCTGTGGCAAGTCTTGGTATTGGAGCTGTGGCAAGTCTTGGTATTGTGTTGTTTGCTCCACTAGGAGTTAGAAGGAATAAGTCCAGTAAGTCATTTTAGAGGTCTAATCACTTTAAAACACATTCAGTTCTAAATACATTGTTGACTCCTGGCTTTTTCCTTTCATCTGTGCTTTTTTCCCTCTCAATGAAATGGATTTTGGACAGGGTATAATACATATTGTGGTGGTGATATACAGTACCTAACCGAAAATGTGCCAGTGTCATGGTTGACTCTTAATTGTTTAGAGCATGTGGTATAGTTCAAGTGTGAAAGCTGCTTTGCTCTTGTGAGTTGAAATGACAGTTTCCCCCTCCTCTGTTTTTTGTTTTTTTTGTTGAATTTCTCATGGCCGGAGCGTGATTTAGGGTTGTATTTTTAATGCGGTGTGGTGTTGGCTTTATGAGCCAGAGTCTGTCCAGGCGTATGCTGAAGAAGAGCACAGGAAGAGCAGAGGGAGCGAGAGAGACGCTGTGACAGTTCCTTGTTTAGGCTCTATTTTCTGTTGGCCTCGATTCAGTCGGTCCCTAACTACTCAGACCAAAGAGACAATGGGAAGTGCTACTGAATGCAGGAAGTAAATTGAGATGTCTCTGAGAGATGGGGATTAGGGTCTTACTACTGAGAGGTTTAGTTGAAGCTGGAGTACTGGGCCTTCTCATCTGTCACTGTCTCTTTGTCTGAGCACTGAGGGGCTGCTCTCTTACCCCCCAGGACAGCGGAGTGCATAGGATTCTCTTTATTCACCTTGCAAGAAAATATGATCCTAAATAAATAAGGGAATAATAGGAGATTATTTATGTAGTTTTCTTGTCTAAGAGTAGCGTAAATTTGAAAGCTTTTCAAATGTTTATTTAAAATCACTTAGGCTATAAGAATCATATAGGAAGGAGCCATCCAGCATGATACTTCCTAAACGAAACGCCCACTAATTGGATAATGCTTTACTTTAGTGCAGGGTTTCCCAAACTCGGTCCTGGGGCCCCCCCTTGGTGCACATTTTGGTTTTTGCCCTAGCACTACACAGCTGATATAAATAATCAAAGGTTGATGATGAGTTAGTTATTTGAATCAGCTGTATAGTGCTAGGGCAAAAACCAAAAGGTGCACCCAGGGGGGGCCCCAGGACCGAGTTTGGGAAACCCTGCTTTAGTGGTTGGAGTCGTGGTGTTTTGTATCCTACTTGTGGCACGATGGCATATGCATGGTGTGGACGGATGGGACAGCCTAACTCACTCACCATTTTCCTTTGGTTGCTGAGGCAGAATGTGCAGATTTGTTTGGGCTGGGAGTTCTCTGCATCGCGGGCCGGAGATCCATGGTGATGTAAGTAGTGGGCAGAGGAGGGCGCTCCAGCATGGCATGGCTGCCCGTCCCCGCATGTCTCCCCGACCAGCAGCACGTTGCCCAGGTGGGAGATGTAGCTGGACGCCAGCCGCAGCGTCTCGATCTTGGACAGCTTCCTGTCGGCTGGCTCGGTGGGGATGAGGGTCCGCAGGGCGGTGAAGGCCGTGTTCACGCTGTTGGTGCGGTCCCGTTCCCGCGCGTTGGCCGCGTTGCGCTGCCGCGGCAGCCCGCTCGTCGGAGAGATGGAGCCGTCCTGCGAGAGCGACATCTCAGGCAGGAGCTGACCTCCTCCCAGACGCCCTGCTCCAGCGCTGCCTGGCTTCCGTTTGCGGCCCCCGACCTTGATGTCATAGCCTCTGGCGTCCAGCCGGAAGGAGCGGTCATCCGAGCCCGAGCTCTCGCTTCCATTCTCCTCGTCCTCGGACAACATGGAGATGTCTGAGTATAGGTACCGGTTGGGCGCCGGCCGCACCATGGCGAAGGACATAGTCACCGTGCTCTGCAGTTCCAACAGTCAGCTAGCTCTATATCTACTCGGGGCTTTGTTTACTACTGTGACACCTGGACATGCATGGATTGTTCAATGATCATACAGGAAAAAAGTAACAAGTGTTACCTCACTATCTCTTTCTGAATCCTTTGACTCCGATGCACTCCAGTCCAGTATCACGTGGCTCCTCTGTCATTTAAAGTCCCATGTGGAGTTTAAACTTTCCTTTCTCTTGGTGAGAAACCAAATGGATGAATGTCAGGTTCCACTGTGTGTTTCTCAGATCCTCTCAGGATACTGTTCGTCTCTCTCTCGTTCTCTCTTTCTTGCTCCCTCCTCTCAGATCCACGTCTGCGTGGCTCCCTCAGTTCAGCTCCACGTCTGTCCCTTGCACTTTCTCTCTCTCTCTCTCGTTCTCTCTTTTACGCTCGCTCGCTCTCTCTCCCAGTGCTCAGATCCACATGTGGTTTCTGTCTGAGAGGCTCAGTATGGTTAGGCTTTATAGCCAGTGGGAGTGTCTGGTGCTATCCCTCCCTCCCTCCTTCCCTTCTTTTCTCCCTCCTTCACTCCGTATGCAAATGTCCCAGCTGGCTGTGGGAGCTTGGGGGGGAGGGAGGGAGTCCAGCACAGTGTGGATCTACTATCTGCTACTATCTGCTTCCTTATTTAACCCAAATCGGGAAAAGTAAAGCTTCCGGAAACCATTGTGTGAAAGAGGGAGTCTTTTATTGAAGACCGGCTGCTCTGGGAGCTCTCTGCTACTGATAAATTGTGTGTAAACTGGACGCACACACAAGCGCACAAACACACACGCTACGGGCGGCTCATAAGAGGCTCATAAAACCTCTGCAAAGTTCAAGACAGGTTTAAATGTCAGCGGTTCAAAGTGGGAAACCCCTTTCCTCGTCTTTTTATTTCTCCAAATTTGGGGCATAACCCCTAACTTAACCCCAATGCAGTCAAGCTGGGAGGTGAAGGCTCTTACTTAGCTAGACAATGTATCATCATCCAACTCCCCCTCTTCCCCATCAGTGTTTACCACCCAATGACGGAGTGTGATTATTCAGGTCTAAACCCCACAACAAGACTGATGCTGTCACTGTGTCTACATTGGTTCCATCACTCTGGGGAGGGGAGTGAGTTGTCTTTCACTTATGTGTTCCTCCCTTAACCCGGACTGGATCTATTTAGTCAAGCTGCTTGAACCAAAAAGAAACAAAATCTGGTCCAGAGGGACTATAAGTCAGGTAGCTAACCTAGCACACCTGTTTGTCACTGAATCATCCCATGGCAGAAAGACAAATGGAAGAACCGTTCTCAAGACTCACAGTTAAGTTTGCACATACAGTATATGACCGATGTTGGCCTTACTGTTTGTGTTATTGGACGTTGACGCATCGAGGACGCTTGATGTTTCCACATTACGGAAAGCGACTTAATTCAATTCTTAATGTTCAGGAAGCCCCAGAGATTGTTTCTGTTGACGGTGATATATGTTATCCTTGCCTGACACCAGACAGGCATTAAACAGATTGTTCTTCTAGCGTGAAGATTGTCAATTACTCAGTGCTGTACGTAACGTTTACATACAGACTGGGACAGCTTGTAAGGGTTGACAGGGTAATTCTCATAGGGTTAGAAAATGTTTGTTACCAAACATTAACTTTGGGATGTGCCCAATACTTTCTAACTCTTTCCCAGGGGTATCATCAAACTGCTTTTAATTGTCAGTTGAAAGAATATTCAACAAATTTCATTGGCCAGGTACAATTATCTATGAAGTCCAAATATTCTAGTCTCGACTGAATATTCCAAAATGTGTGACCAGTCCTCTATTCCCCTCTTTATCCTTATAATTCATCATCTTTATACCGGTACGTCAGATCATTTAATGATGTGGTCGTCTATTCGTCCCTCTCTGGTCTGAACCGACCGAGCCTGTAACGTTAGCCTCTTCCTAATGATGTGACTTGGAGTCTAACAGGCCCATAGAGTACAGGCCGTTTCCAGGAAGGATGGCGGCATGGAGCTCCTCTGTCTATTTCTCTTCTCATGTTCTGCATTAGTTAGAATTGGGACTGGTGTCCCGTCCCATACTGGTTGGTCTCCTACTAAGTGTACAATATAGCCTACCAGTAAATCACCATCCATTTTAAATCGTATATTTTTTTATAAATGTGATTAGGTTTAGATACGATGACGCAAAATAGCCTTGTTAGCTTTTTGGCCACTACTATAGTTAATTGTTTTCACAATGTCACTGCTAAGTGAACTTGTCTTAACAAGGTTGGGACAAAAAATGGCATATTTAAAGCTTGCACATTCATATCCACTCCTGAATTCATTCAGAGATTGTGTTCATTTTAATGGAAGGAAGGAAAAGTCCTTGATTCTTTATAAAAAAATAATTAAAAAAAGGGATGTTTGGATTGTTTTATTTGCAGCAGTAAATCATTAGTGAGTTTGTAAATACAATACAATGCAATGGTAGTGAGATAATGTTTTCCTCATGTCGAAACGTGTCCTCCGATTATCTTCTTCCAAATACACTTTACCTCTTCTTTTTTTTTTCTCGGTCGAAGCAATTGAAATAAAATCTCGTTGTCTGATTTTCGTTTTTATTTCCTTGTGAAACCAATTTTGAAATAGGATGGATTTAACAGCCGGTGTTTGTATAATGCTCTAAGCAGACAAAGTATCAATTTGCCCTGAATGGCTGAAATGCAGTAATTAGTCTTATTCCATATAGATACGTGTAAGTCAATTACAATTGAGGTATTTTTATTGCCTTATTTGTACCTTCTCACGCCATGCAATGTATTTTATTGACAGTGACATGTCGGACAGTGGGTCCCCAAACAAGCAAGGCCGTAAATCGCCTCAGTTTTGTACACACATTTTTCAGTGCTAAATGTTTGATTGTTTTTACAGTAAAGGGAGATGGGTACCATTTATTCAGAATGCTGAATGGATCTTTTAATCCTCTTGATTGATTCATAGTGCTTGGAAATGGCAATAGATGAACTAGGCTACATCATGTCAAATGCATCTGGTCTGACTGCAGTCTGTAGTATATGATTCTTGAGTAACTAAGTTCAGAAGTTTCTCTTTTGAAATACAATCCATGATCTCTTCTTAGGGTTGAGCTAATGCCCACCTTCCCTCGCTATTACAGACGGAGGGCCATTTCTCTGGCAGCAGTCAATTAACAATGGAAGGAATCGGCTCATAACATGACAGCATTCATTGAGGTTCCTCTTCTTCAGATGTCTCGTTTTGTTACCTCATAAATGCTGACATGGAGAGTAACAAATGACGATGCTTGTTATCTCCCTGTCAGAGCGGCCAGCCCACTCCTTCCTCCCACCTTATAGGGGAAATACATTGTCTGCCATCTGACAGTCATTAGCTCCTTATAACTTCCTCTTCTACGGTGCGACATCTAATCCAGTTCCCCATCTGTGGAAAGCACTTTTCTCAACCTCCTCCATACCCCTCTCCACAGACCCCTCCCTCCTGTAGCCAGACACCAGCCCCCTCACGTGGGTTTTCTCAAGCCAGAGTCCTGTCACGTCTGATACGACTCCCACTCTCCCCCATGCTTGACCACAAATGCCCCATCAGAGAGGAGGCTTAGGCTAGTCCAGGCCGCCAGGTGCGTTCTGCTCTCTCTCTCTCTGCCTTTCTCTGTCTTTCTCTGCCTCTCTCTCTCTGCCTCTCTGTCTGTCTTTGTCTCTCTGTGTCTCTTGGTCTCTGTCTCTCTTCTCCAGTGTGGGCTGCTTGACCTGGGGGTGTTTCTGGTCTGGACGGGCCAGAGCTCAGGAGCTGAGAAATGGCCTGGCTGTATAATTTCCAGCCACTCAGTACTGCTCCTAATGCAACCCAGATGACATAGCGGCGAGAGCAGCTGCGCTTATAAAATAAAGTACAGAGTGGGATGGTGGAGAACCTGTTAGGCTCACAACAAACCATGACTTCAATTAATTTATTCAATGGGGAGGAGGTAGGTTCACCCCCCCAAAAAAAAGAGCAAAAATGCAATTAGCTTGGACCTTTTTGTTCTCGGGTTTGAAATTGCTCACTCCGGCTTTTCCGTCGTTAAAGTGTTCCTTTCTTACCCTTTTCCCTTCTTTTTTTATGGCGTGTTTTCTCTCGGGTACATTTACAATGCATTAAGCATATAAACAGGCTGGAAATACGAAAGGAACCGGAGCAATACTGCTCAGTTCTGTCGATCCAGGGGTCTAGTAATAATAAGAGGGAGAGATGGAGAAGAATTCGAGGGGACCACATTTGGTCCTGATCTCTATTGCACTCCACACTGCCCTTTCCCACCTGGACAAGAGGAACACCTACGTGAGAATGCTATTCATTGACTACAGCTCAACGTTCAATACCATAGTGCCCTCAAAGCTCATCACTAAGCTAAGGACCCTGGGACTAAACACCTCCCTCTGCAACTGGATCCTGGAGTTCCTGACGGGCCTCCCCCAGGTGGTAAGGGTAGGTAACAACACATCTGCCACGCTGATCCTCAACACGGGGGTCCCTCAGGGGAGTGTGCTCAGTCCCCTCCTGTGCTCCCTGTTCACCCATGACTGCATGGCCAGGCACGACTCCAACACCAACATTAAGTTTGCCGACGACACAACAGTGGTAGGCCTGATCACCGACAACGATGAGACAGCCTATAGGGAGGAGGTCAGAGACCTGGCCGTGTGGTGCCAGGATAACAACCTCTCCCTCAACGTAATCAAGACAAAGTAGATGATTGTGGACTACAGGAAAAAAAAGAAGACTGAGCACGCCCCCATTCTCATCGACGGGGCTGTAGTGGAACAGGTTGAGAGCTTCAAGTTCCTTGGTGTCCACATCACCAACAAACTATCATGGTCCAAACACACCATGACAGTCGTAAAGAGGGCACGACAAAGCCTATTCCCCCTCAGGAGACTGAAAAGATTTTGGTATTGGTCCTCAGATCCTTAAAAAGTTATACAGCTGCACCATCGAGAGCATCCTGACTGGTTGCATCACCGCCTGGTATGGCAACTGCTCGGCCTTCGACCGCAAGGCACTACAGAGGGTAGTGTGAACGGCCCAGTACATCACTGGGGCAAAGCTTCCTGCCATCCAGGACCTCTATACCAGGCGGTGTCAGAGGAAGTCCCTAAAAATTGTCAAAGACTCCAGGCACCCTAGTCGTAGACTGTTCTCTCTGCTACCGCACGGCAAGTGGTACCGGAGCGCCAAGTCTAGGTCCAAAAGGCTTCTTAACAGCTTCTACCCCCAAGCCATAAGACTCCTGAACAGCTAATCATGGCTGTTTCGGAGGACGCATGGCTCTCAACCTTAGTCTCTCCCGAAGTCCATACGGGAGTTGCACAGCGATGGTACAAGACTGTAACTACCAATTTGGATAT